AAGCCTACCTTAACAAATTGTCCTGGCGAGCAATAGAGATGAACCATGCCAGTGATGTCACCAGCTAGCTTGTTGTAAAATGGCTGCATCCTGCTGGTGAAAATGTTGAAATACAATCTAGTTTTCTGGCAAATCTAGGTGGATATCAAGTTTGATTGCATTGTTATATCTTGCCTTGCCTTGCTGCAGTCATATTGTCCAGTGCTTCATCTCTACTTTAAAGTACCAATGGATGCCTTTGGTTGTCCTGTTTAATAAGATTTCAACTTCAGCTTAAAAAATGAGTGCACCACAGCCTGTTGGCCTTTAATTGTTTTCGCTGGGGGGCCAGTGTGGGACAGCAATTATATCAGGGGGGGCCACTGACCCCCCGATATTCCCCCTCGGAGGTACCACTGACAGAGACTGATTGTCTTTTGCATCGTACCTTTAATAGCACCCACAATGTTCTGGTCCAAGCCCTTACGGTTATCATTGAGCCCTCTCTTCCTTTTGCCATTTGGCAAGGAGTTAGCCAGCGTCGTATCGTCAAAGAAGGCACACACCTAAAACACATAAAGCTCCATGTTAAATATTGTTGAGCCTTTTGCAAATGTATCTTAATAGAAGTAAATTATTAGATGTTTGTTGTTGTTGTAGTTTACAGTAAAATGTGAGAAACCAGTGATGCCACATGACTGATGTGTTAACCACAATCAGAGGGCCAGTGAATTGGCTCTTTAAAAGGTATTGATGCACACCAGTTTGCGGAACAGCAGGCTGCCAGAGCGTGTATAGTTAACCAGAATGGAGTCCAGCTGAGCCTTTGAAATATACACGTCATGATCCTCTGCAAGACGCACCTCAGACTGAAAAAGAATCAAATAAGAGATACTGAGGACTGTGAAGTAATAAGGGATAACGGTGAATTAAAACATAACAAGATTAATTCAGTTTTTAGTTGTTGCTTTTTTAAGGAGTTCTAGCCTGAAGTCATAATGTTGTGTGATTTTTCAGATGCTTGTTAGACTCAGTGTAAATATAGTAAATACATATAGATTTAAAAAACCTTTTGAGGATTCATTCATCAGAAAGATTGAGTTCAAATTCATGAATACTGTTTCTGTGGAGTGCAGTACACTCAAATCATAAATTAGAGCTACCAGTTAAGTACAGAAACTCCCCTGGCACATGTACATTCATGAACATGCCATGTGACATATTACCTGCTGAGGTTCCCGTAGCTGGTTCAGGAGAGGATCTTGTCTGTTGTTGACAGTTCCTGGATTATTCTGAGGTGGCGGCACAGAAACCTCAGAGGAGACGGGATGACTGTTGGGTGTAGTTGAAGCTTGCTCTGTCTCACATTCCTCCCTCTTTACAGATTCTGCAGGTGCAGCTGTACACGCCGATCCCTCCAGAGGGGCAAGAGCTGCTTTTCTAGTACTAGACACAGTCAGGGGTGCTTTATATATTGGCCTCCTCTTGCGGGGCCTACAGCGAGGAGTGGGGCCTGGACCAAGACGGGGTTGGCATGGTGATGCTGCCTGTTCCTGTCTCTCCAAGGATGCTAGAGAAAAAGAAAGTAACACATTATAATTTCTCTTTCTCACTTCTTCACAGTGTGTGAGTGTTTGTGTTCATCCACTGACCTTTTTGAGTCTGCATCAGCCTCCTCATGGCTCGCAGTTCCTGCAAAATAGCTTGCAAGGTGCCCTTACAGTTACACATACAGCAGGGGGTTTCAGGCACAGCAGGAGGGATCACATCTGCTGGACAGACAGTATCAGGTTGCTAAGAAATTGTCTACTTTAACATGCATACTCATACCTGTGCAATATGCTTCCTTGCCATGCCATTGATAAGAAAGTGTGTATGTGTGTGCATGAGTGTTTGACTGTGTTGTATGGATAAAGTGTCCGCCTTCCACACAAATGACTCTGTATTTGTTTGGCCTTCTACAACAGTCACTATCTCATCTCTATTCTATCAGCATTATTGTTTTCTATGGAAAATTAGTGCTGTGTTTATTGGTCTTCTCCTCCTGAAACCTGCTGTGGTACCCTACCATTTGCTTCGTTCACTTTGATCAGATCCTTGGTGTTGTTGAGGACCCTCAGAGCTTTGGAGCGGGTGCTGTACTGACCAAAGCCTGGACCGTTTCCGGTGGAGGTAGATATGGATGAAGGTGAAGGCCCTGGGTCCTCTGCAGAGTTCCAGCTGTTGCTCTGGTGGTCGTGCGATACAAGAGACGAGGGTGCAGGCTGATGCACCCAGGTCAGGTGCTCATCCTGGGGCTCCTTTGTTACGCTGTCCTGCTCTGTTACCACACGCTGATAAGCCCTGCCGGACTTATCACTCAGAAGCCTCATCATTCCTGTTATTTGCCTCTTGATCTCCACACCCTCATCCCCCAGCCAACCTAGATTGAGAGAGAGAAGGGTGTTGGTATAATTAGTGTGATCTGCCTCTGTGTGTCAGTGAAATTAATCCTTATAATGGCACATACCATCAGACACAGCAGCATCCTTAGACTCTCCTTTGGCGTCTTTGCAGTTGGAATTCATAATATATGAAGGGGCAAAATCTGAAAATAAAATGTTTTGTCGTGAAGCAACAATAATGAAATTAAAACTTAATTTCACATCATGCTCTGTTTGACAAATAGTTGCATAATGATGTTGCGGCCTTTTGCATTGCAATAATGGAGCTTGTGCAGGCTGACAGGGACGGTGATGTCAACCAAAGCCTAACCCCCCCTCCCATCCCATGCAGAAACCACCACCTGTAGGTGGTATGAAGAAGTGTAGCCAAGAGAGGTGGCCTGGATTGCTTCAGCAGAAAGTGAATAGTAAGCTGCATGCCCAGAATGCGCAACATGTTTTCATATTTTGGACTATTTCTTTAATTAATTCAACCTTGAATCTACACTGAGACTGACGTCCTGGAAGGGTTTTACATGAGACTTGAATCAATAGAGTTAGCTGCTGGTTAAAACCGAGGCACAGACTATGGGTATTGTCGTGGCCATCGCTTTTGTTTACAGAGTCGCCTCTGCTGGCACACAGCGCCAGACAAACACCCAGACACAGACGCGCGTCTTGCAAGGTCTTACATTCATTCAGCAGCCTACCTTCATCCGTGACCAGTTTAAAGCTCTGTGACTTCCTTCTCCTTTTCCTTTCCCCAAACTCCATCTTCAGGAGGGATTTAGTCTACAGCAAGTCGTGTAGTCGAGAATCGCTCTTCAGAAAGACGGAATCAGTGACTAGGAAACACTCAGCGGAATCACTGTCCGTCTGCCTTATTAATCAGTTAAATTTCTCCCCAGGCTGCGCTACAGATCCTGTCATCGGCACATTGTCACCGTGTTCAGCTCAAATAGACCTGTGAAATGCTACATGTATGATTTTTCCCCCCGTTGCCAGCAAGGATGCTGGTTCTCCCCTTTCGCCATGTAAATAAATTAATGACTTTAATATTAAAAATTCGTCACATATCCCTTTGCGCCACCTGATGGTATGTTCTCATCTAAAAGGTCGAGTCACAAAATTGCCACTGTGGTGTCCAAACAATGCACTGGCATTAGAACAAAGGCAGTTATGAGACCACATTGCAATCATAAACTTTTCCCCCTTAAATTATTAAGAAATTAATAGTTATTACTGTTTTTATTGTTGTTTGGACGACTCATTTACCTGATTATAAAAATAAGTAAATGGCCACATCTCATGTTTGACTGGAGTGAGCAGCAGAAACTCTTTGATGGGGTGGTTGCTCAATTAATTTAATATTTATCAAAGATATTATCTGTTATGTCAGACAGGACTCAGACTGTGTAAATCCCTTCTCTTTATGCATGTAACGGATATCTATCTCTATCTGGAGCTCATGTTGTGCATCAAAGGATAGATTTTCCCTCCCTCCAGTCATGACCTCGCTTCAGGCAACGGTATAAATTCTGAGTCACTGGCAGAAAATAGGAGGTAGTGTTGAGTCACTTATGACGAGTGCAGGCCAGTTAAATTGATGTTACTTTTTACATTATTCCATCAATTCTCCATTGTTAGCCCTAAACGATTTCAAAAGGTCTAACCATTTTAATCTCAGACCTTGGGAGTAGAGAAAGGCCCGATCCTTACACAAACTGTAGCTTATTATTGCATTAATAGAAGTAGCAGCCTCTATGCAACTGATTTGTAACTCTATATTGTAGAATATGCAGCAAAATATAGCAACACAAGGTAAAACTGATATAGGCCTATGTGTAGCATTTAAATTCATCACTTTGGTGAAATGCTATGTGAATATGCATGCCAACAATACCATAGTGATGTCAATAAAACTAAGCTATTTGTTTAAAAATGATTTTATTTTTTTCGTGTCCAAATGTCGAAATGCAGTGGCAGAGAAAAAGAGAGAAGAATAAAAAAACACGTTAGCCTATTTCATTTGGAACTGTTTTTAAATAATTTAATCACTTGAAAAAGATAATTGTATAGCTAGTATAGCCCTGGACTCGTTTTTGGATAAATAGCCATGCTAATACGAATACACTATAGGCTACAAGTGTGAAAGAACTGAGCTTTGATCAACACCCAAAACAAAATATTGGACTTTAGAAAAAATGTTTTCACTTTTTCCACATAACCATGGCTTATTACAGTGAGTGTATGAATGTTAATCTTGCTTTTTAGTTGCCATTACCCCTTTATATTTATTAGCCTAAATAATATTCTTACTTAGCCTACTGGAGCCTAAAATATCATTATATTACAGTAACTATAAACCTATATCCAAAGAACAACACATTAAACAGTATTTCTGTTGTTTTAATGTGACAAAATGAGAGTGCTTGATCTTATACTAAACTCTATAAGAAGACTAATTATTTACACTGATTTGAATGGCCAGTAAACTCAAATGACATTTTATTTTTACATTTTTATTTAGACACAAAATTAACAAAATAAAGTAAATCACTGAGGACTCTTATACTGAAATTCAGTGTTAGGCTAAGCTGACTTCCGGTTAAGGTGTCTGGGTGATAACGTTGTTGCAAAAGCTCTACACATGTGGTTATTTGTTGAAATAACAGAATAACGACCACAATTACTTTACCAATATGGACATACTAAAGGCTGAGATCGCCAGGAAGAGAAAACTCGTCGAAGACAAACAGCTTGTTGACGTAAGTAGCTTATGAAGTTGCTTGTTTTTGTTAGCTTGGTAACTTAGCATTGTTGCTAAAGTGTTTACTTGCGTTAACTTAGCTAACAGCTAGCTAACGTTTACTCAGTGTAGTTAACGCTGCCTTTCCAGAATCATCGATGTTTTATATGTATTGATTGATATATTGATACAGTATTGAATTCTACTTAAAGTACTAAATATAGCTGTAACGTTAATGTTAAACATTGTAGTAACTAGCAACGTAGTAGCAAGCTAACGTTAGCTGACAGGTTAAAATAAACGGAAATAGCTAGCAAATACGTAACGTAGCGTTAACATTAGCTAACGTTACTCAAAGTATAGGCTGATGTTCTAATTATCACTTAAACAGTCTACTTAAACTGTAGCCAGATTATCATATGGTTTATTCAGTGTTAATATTAACGTTAAATTAATGTTAGCTTTGCTTGCTTCCTGCTGAACTAACACTGGGATTCAAACTAAAAACTGTAAATGCCACACTCGCAGAAAAACACCCATTCAGTAAAATACTAATAATGTATTCAGTGGGATTGGGTTAGTTTATAGTTGAATGATCCCTATTTGTGCAGCAGGAGTGTTAACAGTCTCATGTAACAGCATATTAGAGTACACTTTAATACAGATAAAATGTCCAAGATTAGGGAATACAGATCACATATTTTTATAATATACTGACACTGTTTTACTCATGGTCTTCTTTGTGTTTAGTAAAACATAAACTTATAAAATTGCTTTGTTGTGAAGATTTGATTTATTATTTAAAATTACAAGATAGTTACATGCAGTACAGCATGCTGCCACATTCACTCCAGCAGAGAGGAAAAATTAATAGTTGTGTTGAGTAAATTACCAGTTATTTTGTATTAAAAACACACACCCTACAATGTCATAACAAAAGAGAAAGAGAAAGGTAAATACGTTATGCCACTCTAGACCTTGCCACCAGTATTGTGTTTTTATTGTGTTTCACATGGGTTTTATTGGAAACATCTAATGAATAAGTTATCTTTCTGCTTCCAGGACTCCAAAAAATTCTTCAAACGGTCTGAGCTTGCACACAAGGAGCAAGAGGATTACTTCAGAAGATGTGGATATAAGGTTGATGTCCATAGCACTTTATTTCTAACTTGCTCACATATACTCAAACACATAAATCACTGCCTTTCCTCAGTTCAGTTTTATCTCATGTTTAGTATGATGCTGTAATACTGTCATTAAACTTTTTGCCAGGAAACAAAATAAGGTCAGGCTTTGATGCTCAGGTGTACATTGGTGTTTTGTGTTTGCTGTTTTTCCCCCAACCTGCCTCTGCTGCCTGCATCTGTAGGTTCAGAGAGAGACTCCTGAGAGCCAGGTATGGGATTGCACAGTGAAAGTAGCTGACAGGATGCATGATAACAGGATAAAACGCACTGTGTCCCAAAGGCTTCCGCTTCCTTGGCACCCTTTCTGAAAGTTCACTCTCAAAAGCCAGCGAGGATAAAAGCAGAAATAACATGGTGGAGATATCTTTATTTTCCAGCATGGGTTGTTAGAAATAACGCCACAAGGGCTGGGTGTTTTTTGTGCGAGATAATGAGATGAATTCAGCATCAGACAACTCAATCTATAAATTAACAAACAATTGCTGTATCTAGCCAGTTATAGAAAGGCATGTGATAACATGAATGCATTTGCTGATCCACCCCCTGCTTCCAATACTCCACTTTTGTTGATATTTATGCCTTTAACAATCTATTTCTTTATAGACCAACCACTGTGACAACTAGACTATATGCTGGACCAGTTTTGTGTTACAAACTATTTCCAAACTTAGCAACAACCACTTGTCAAAAAGCAAGGGAACAAGGAAAGGAATCAACAAAGCCAAAATGGGACACAGACATGGTGTGGATTTCAGCATGGGATACTGAACTGAAATAAAAGATAACTCTGTTACCAAGCTGCACTTGTTATTTTGCACATAGTCTGTGACGGCGGTTTTAATATTTAAACCAATTGTAAGTTCCCCTGGTTTTGTGTCACCAGTTTGCATTGCCTTGTAACAGTTGCTCTATTGAAAACTGCATTTCTGTTCTACTTTGTGCAAGGCTTAACATGTCAAAATTATTAGGCTATGCACACATGCAGTATACTTTGTTTATTTGAGCAATGGCCATTGTTTGTTTGGAAGGCTTTTTTGTAATCAGTTTCTGTTTGTTCTTTTAGATTGTGCTCCTTACACCACAATCTAAGAGTGCTAGGATGCATGTGCCCATGAAAGCATGATCTGGAAGCATACTTTGAGTTTCCTTTTTGCAAACAAAATGACTGAATATGTTTTGCCTGTGATTAGGTTTTAGTCCGTGCAGTCAGTATTCAAATAACACAAAATGAAGTATGAGTAATGTAATATTAAAAATGCCTGCTTTTATTGGTAAGTTATTAGGAGACATGACTTTATAGAGGAGCTGGGGGTAAGATAGGGACCTGAATTTCTGCAATACAGTGCATCATAGTGACATACATCCTCTTCATTGCTGAGGTCTCATCTCCTGAAGACATTACAGATGCTTTTCACATATCCCAGCTGTATTTGTTTCATTTGCATCAGCCCAGAAAGAGCAATCTTTCAGTATTATTACATTCTAAACCTTAAATTATAAGTATATTTCTGTTCTCTCCATGTTGTCCGGAAGATTGATAAGAAAGAAGAAGATGAGCCAACCACCTCAGCTAATCCAGTGTTAGAACTGGAACTAACAGAAGAGAAGCTGCCGATGACACTGTCCCGACAGGAAGTAAGTTAATACTAAACATTAACACTTGCCTCACAGTCATTTTTTCTGTCAGTACTAAGACATTAATTAATCTGTGGCAACTTTGTGTTTGTATAGGTAATTCGACGGCTTAGAGAACGAGGGGAACCAATCCGACTGTTTGGAGAGTCTGATTACGATGCCTTCCAGAGACTCAGGAAGATTGAGATTCTGACTCCAGAAGTGAACAAGGTACGACTGAAGGCATCTTGTAGTGGGACACATTATTCAATAAAGACATGCTGATTTAAGTCCATTCAGTCTGGGGGGGGGGGGGATCACAGTAGTCTCTACACTGAAAAAATTACAGTTTGGATATCTGGCTGAAAATGCAAACATACCTTTTCTATGAGCCATCACCTCACCACATGAGCCAGATCTGATTGACAACTTCTGTGAAGCAGTGAATCTTAGTTATGTTGTTCTTCAGAGAATAAAGTTATGTTTTATGTGGCCGTTCGTTATGTGATTCTTATAATAGTGTTATTGTCTTAATTCTTAAACACAGTATGCTGAAAACCTCTGTTTAATGTTGCCTCTGCATCTAGGGCTTGAGGAATGACCTGAAAGCAGCCATGGACAAGATTGACCAGCAGTACCTGAATGAGATTGTTGGAGGAACAGAGTCAGGAGAACTGGACACACAGCACGATCTGAAAGTGCATGAAGAAAACACAACTATAGAGGAATTGGAGGTACATTTCATAGTTAACATTGCTTAGTTAAAGTGATACTTCACCCACAAAATGACCATTTGTACATCAGTCATGCTGTGTTGCTTCGAATTTGTAAAGAAAACATTGTCTTTCCTGTATGCCTCTGCAGAAAACAATAAACATATTGATTTACTGATTGATTGGGGACCAGTTTGACAAAGTTTTGCTGTTAAACTGGTTCCCAATTAATCAATAAAACAATATGTTTGCCGTTTTCTGTGGAGGCATGCAAGAAAAACAGAAGTTTTCTTCATTAATTGAAGGTAACACAGCATGATTAATAGATAAACAAATGGTCATTTTGTGGGCGACGTATTCCTGTAACTGAGCTTTAAGTTTTTTCCTATTAGATCAAGTTATGGGCAATTTATTAATGAGTATTTACTAATTTTGTCATCACAAAATAAAAGCTGTTGTTTTAAAAACTGTTAAGTTATTCTTGTCAGCTTTAGTAAATAAAGGTTACAAATCAGTTTGTGTCTGATACTGAATCTCTCCCTCAGGCTCTTGGTAAAACCCTGGGTACAGGAGATGATGATGGAGACCAGGAAGTCATCCACAAGTTTTTGAGGGTAAGGCAAGAAAATCATGCTCCATCTTTGATCTAGAGGGAGCTGTTGCTTAAGAAATGTATAACACTATTGTGGCTGCCATTCATATTGTTCTTCTTCATTTGTTACAGTAATGATTTGCTTTGTTGTTAAATAGATAATGTTTTCTGTGATGTGTTTTAATGCTGCCATTCAAGAAGAAATAATTGTAATCTGTCTAGTGTCTCTCTAATATTTCAACAGCTATATTTCCTCTTGTATCTCTAGTTTCTTCTTGGTGTTTGGGCCAAAGATCTGAACAGCAGAGAGGACCACGTGAAGCGAAGTGTTCAGGGCAAGCTGGCCAGTGCAACTCACTCACAGACTGAGTCTTACCTCAAACCTCTCTTCAGGAAGCTCAGGAAGAAGGTAACATTTGTGGACAGAACAAAACAAGTTGCAAGGATGTTGTTTAACAGGTGTCAATGTAGTTTTTCCATTTCACATTGTTTTAATGTTTTTACCATCTCTTTCAGAGTTTACCAGCAGACATCAAAGAGTCAATCACAGACATTATTAAATTCATGTTAGAGAGAGAATATGTCAAGGTATGTTATTATCTGTATAACAACATTATTTTTTACCATGTTAGTCCTTTTATTAATATACAAATGAATCAACTTTATTCAACTTTTCCCCCAGGCGAATGATGCCTACCTGCAGATGGCCATTGGTAACGCTCCCTGGCCTATCGGTGTGACCATGGTGGGTATCCATGCTCGTACCGGGCGAGAAAAGATCTTCTCCAAGCACGTGGCCCACGTTCTCAACGACGAGACACAGAGGAAATATATCCAGGTGAGACTCTCAGATTGTCCCCTACAGACAGTGTCTAAATCTCTATTAGGATGGGCTTTGTTTCAAGGACAGTGACGCTGAAGATGAAATAGAAGCAAAAAATGATTGCAAGATCTTTACCCTGACAGTGTAGGAATTTATCATATTCATCTTTGTTGTAGATGGGCCAGACATTTCATCAGCAGCCTATTTAAAACCTGTTTGTTTGTTTTTTAGCTTAGGTAATGACAAATGCTAAACAAATGCAAATGAATGTAGTAAAGAGTAGCAAATTTTTATTGTTTCACTTTTCAAATAAAAACGGGACAGGCACATCAACTGCAAAAAACAGAATAAAAGAGCTGTCGATGCTAACAGTGCTAACAAGTATCAATAACAGTAACTTATAACACACTTTATCTCTCTCTACCAGTATCTTCTTCCCCTCTCTCTCAAACGCACACACACAAACACACCCCTCATGATGTTGTCCATCAAGGTCAAGGAAAAGTGTGAAGGAAAAGACATATTTTCGACTAGTTGACCCCAGGCCAGACTGTTTGAAAAGCTACTAAGTGTCTTCAGAACTGCGTCACATGAATAAACACTGATTTATGAAAGGTATGATTGGCAGTGTCCTTATACTGTACCGATCCATACATGCCTCCTGATTGGTACTGCGCATGTGTAACTCAATGGAGATGAGAATGAAGTGAGATGACTCACTCAGTAGCTATTTCCAGACACTGTATGTAGTTTACATATTTTGTACTGGCATATATTATGTATGCTGTTCAACTCGGAGGATGCTTTTGTGCTGGATGTTGCCCGGTGGCTGCCAGTGGCATAGGCCTGCTCTAGATTAAACACACGTCTGGTTGGATGTCGAAGTGTGCTTTGTGTTTTATTACCAAGAAAGGAAATAATTTGCATATTTACTCTTCATTTATACAGAGAGTAACATAGTTTGCATGCCTAGGATTCATGAGTAACACTTACATGTGTGTGTAGTAAATATTTTGCAAGTAGGGTATGCACATTTTGCTTCATTATTTTCCTCAGTGTCCAGTCTTCACAACTGTTGCATGTAAATTATGTGTGTTAAACTGTCTGCTGATGTTTGTGGAGGAGATCAGGGTTGAAGTTATTTGCTGGTCATATACAGTAATAACCACATTATACCAGTATACCTCCTGAAATGACATGTAAACATTACCAAAATGTAAATGTGTCTAAAAAAGTTAAAAATGCTGCAGAGCATTTTGAGAAATGAATTTACTAGATGGGTTATAGTTGACCCATGTTTGTACATTTAATTAAGAGCTACAGATGATTTTTTTTTACGTTGGTTGCACTGGTGCACAGAATTTAGGTGCACCGTAAATGTTTCACCGTGCTCTTTGGCCCCACAGTATCACATTTTAAGCTTAACCTTTTGTTGGTTCTCTTGGTGTTTTTTAACATTACATGTAAATAATTGCACAGGGCTGTACATTAACTTTTGTGCACATAGCTCCGGTGCTACAGAGACTGAAGGTTTTGTGGCACACTCAAGTTGTCAAAAGTATCAATACTCAAACGCTGTATCTGGATACAATACTAATTTACAAAGGTATCGATACTAACAGTGCACGCCACCTGTGAAGGCAGCGTCTGGCAGGCGCAGAGCCCTCGCTGCAACCCGGCTTGTTGTCGTCACTGGGCATGCATGCACACATTTCTGTTGCTGTAATATGGCCAGCTCAGCTGCAGGAGGATCAGAGCAGCCAGTTTTGGTCAAAAATGATAAAGGAAAAAGCGCTCTTTGGAAATATTTAGTGAAGTGAACACAGCACACTGCAGACGGCAGACGACATCTCTGTTGTCACCAGGCTGCAGTTTTATGAGTACATCCGTCGCCCACATCCGGGGGCCATCATGATAGTCTACAACTACTAAATAGAGTAGCAATGTGTTATCTGTTCAGCTAATACACAAACAAACACGCAGTCCCTCACCTCAAACAAGCAGATCTGTCTCACACACGTAGCACACGCAGGTGCAGTAATTTCAGTCATTGCAGTAACCTATTTTTGTGTAGCAAGTGCAACATACTGTGGGCCTTCATGTTGCACTGTACAGCCCTGTTGCAGAGGCCCAATATGTTGGATCAGGATTAGGCATCTTACCTGGAACAGGACACAGGTGGTGGAGCGGTTACCTCCACTGGTCATGTTGGGTCTGGTTTGGGTCTCTAAGGGTCGGGAACAGGTGTAACAGGCAGCGTAGCACTTTTCTTGATGAAAAAACAGTCACTAGTTGTCTTCATTGTAAAATACTTACATGTTTAAAGGTTGATGTTGCTGTAGGAGGAACATGGTGTGATCATGTGTGGTCTCATCTCTGACCAGAATAGTCGCACTCTGGAGACGTGATCTAAGTGCCAACTTAATTTGCCTTGTTTTCTATTTTTCCTTCTCCAGGGACTGAAGAGGCTAATGACTATCTGCCAGAAACACTTCTCGACGGTTCCATCAAAGTGCGTGGAGTACAACGCTCTTTAACTTGTAACTTCAGCTTAATTTAAGTCAAGGCTGTCAGGTCAGTTGTATCGCAGTCCAAAATGAGAACTTATCACAGCAGCTCAGTTAAGAGTTTTGGCATGACTGAAGTTTGGATGTGGCAGAAGTGATTCAAAATCTTGTATATGAAGGACCTTCAAGTTCATCTGCCTTTTGTTGGAGATAACAGTCTGAGGGAATGCTTCATTTCAACAGAATGTGGGTGCACATGATCTTTTGTATACAGCCAGTATTTTGCTAACTTAACCCTTGAGTCTTGTCCTACTACTGGACAAGACTACTGGGAAAATGATTGCACCTGTCATGCCATTAATAGTCACATGTCTTCAGTCCTACTTGAGAACATGTTTGTTTATTGATGTTTGAGGAGTTCCAACCATTGTTTTTCTGAAAAGTAAAACCGTAAAAAGGTTAAACGTCAGCCAACCTTTTCTGTAAATACTGGCTTTCACAAGTTTTTCAAAGATTAATTTTTAATGATGTGGGAAACAATATCATTTTGCCAACAAAGATCCAGTAATGTAAGTTTTATTACACCTGAGATATCACAGTTATTTCTTTATTGACATGCTTAAATCAATGCAGATTCAGCTGTATGTACATGTTTGAATTTTCAGCAGATAATTAAACCAATCAGCGTGTCACTGTACTATCTTATTGAGAAAATAAAGTGTTGTTTTGTTACACCAGCTGTTGGGATTGTTAGTTTTCATGCAGTGTGAGAAGTTAATTTGCCTTCCTGCTCTGTAATTGTCAAGACTTGCTCTCGTCTTCTGCAGCTGGACTGCTGAATCAGTCTATTTTTAGCCAGCATAGGTTTTTTTTTTTGCCTATTAGAAAATATGTCTGCGGGGAAACAGTTCCTAATAAAGGACGAATGTGCCGTGACATGCTTCAGTAAAATTTGGGATTGCCCACTGAGTGACTTAAGGACTTATTAAGAATGCTCCAGTCAGATGAAAATAGGCAATTAAGGAATCAGTGAGCTCTTCTGTACAGCAATCCAAAGCAAGAGCAAACCTAGATCTGCTACAACTGATTCCTGATGGAAACCTTCCAGTAGTTTGCTAAGATGGTAACATCCAGCGTCACACACTGACCTTATTACACTGAGTAACCATGGTGATCTGATCTGTTCCTTTTGGTCATAGTATGTTCTCGGCTGCCTGAACCCACGTCAGCACGGTTTCAGTCTGTCAGCTCTGAACGCGTCACTAGACTCAGCTGGACAGGTTGGCAGTTGGCAGTGCAAATACCGTGAATTAGTGCTGGGTTCTCCTCTGAATTTTTACCACTTTCAGCACCCACATCCTACCCACAGCAAAAAGGGAAAAAATTCTCTTTCAACAGCTACAGGTGCAGAAACATTCTGAATTCAGGAGCATGAAATAACCTGATAAGAAGTCATTATGTTCGTCCACCCATGGAGTCATTTATCTGGCTGTCCTTGAGATAAACTAAGCCAAATATTTTGGCTTCTGTCCAGTCAAATGTGTTGTGTCACTGTCAGCTCTGACGTTTGCTTAGCCAAGGCCGTGAAATGATGGTCCAGTGGAAAGTATTTGCAGTTCATTGTAAATTAACACAAAACCTCTGAGTGTTATGCTGGGGTGTTTGTGTGAGTCCTCTTATCATCCAGACTAGTGGTATGCCAAAGAAAGAAACATCCCAGAGACTATAAAGGAGCTCAAATTAAATTTGGAAACACAATAAAACAAAATTCACCTTGAGATCATTACCAGTTTGGTGAGTAGGAGCATGAGATACCTGTTTGCGGCGCTCAGACAGATGTGGGACTGATCAGTGCACATGCTGAACACATGCTGATACAGTGGACAGTGAGGACGACACGTCTGGCTTAGATCAAGCACAGTGGGAGGGAAATTGTGCAGGAAAGGCTGTTGAGGATGAGCAAGGGAAGAAATGGCTCCCTGAGAAGGAGACGGGACTGAGAGGCATGCATTTGGGATACACTGTAGTTTTTGGATGTTCATGGTTCAACAGTTTTGCAGTTATGCAAGGCCGTAGCTGGGAAGTCAATAGTGGGGGGGGGGCAAATGTGCTGGCGGATCCCATTCCCATCCCCCAAGAAAAAAAAAATTTGAAAACTTATTTCCTGTTAAAATAAGCAAGTACAGCTGTACAGTAAATGAAAACTACTACTGTCTACATGAATTACACGTGCAGCGCAACATAAATGACATGTTTTTTGTGTGTATATTTGTGTGCCCCCCAGTATATATCCTAATTACTGTCTGCAGTTATGTGTAATGTTACAAAGGGTTGGACAGTAACTACGTACATTTACTTGAGTACTGTACATTAATTTTTTGAGTGTCTGACTACTTTAATATATTTTTTTTTTTTTATGACTTTATAAGCTTGTTGCCTTGCATGGCTTCTGTTCCACCTTGCCAGTTTCTAATTGCTGTAGTTAATCCTATTTTTATGTCTTCATGCTGTCTTTGTCCTGTGAATTTTATCCTTTTATTGGTTTCAAAACATCTCGCCAAATGACTGCAGCTGAACATTAGCCAGCTGGCTAACACTGACACATTTAATGTGCATTGTCCTTATAAATAAAATAAACTAAAAGAATGAATAATTCACACCACTACTGAAAGACAAACTTTTGACTCCACTACATTTCTATGAAGTTTCCCATCATTCAGTACTTTAAAGCATAGCTATGTAGAAAGTGGAATAACTTTCTTTTCTAAAATTCAGTTGGCCATAAGATGTGATAATCACAGGAGAAAACTCAGTCAAAGTAAACAACTCCTCCTACACCTGCAGTCAGGTTCAAAATGCTTGCTGCATTTTTCAACAGTACACTTTGAACTTGGTAATTATAATGATGGCTATCGCAGATAAAGATAAGGATTCTTAATCACCTGAAGTCCATGTTTGAGGTTTTTAAGATAAGGAAAGATTCATATTTCTTTGAATCCCATCACTGCCAACAAAATTCACTGTCCAATTTGAGAATCATGTTGAGGTGTAAACATTTGCTTAACTCCAGATAAGCTTCTTACACCAAGTCGTCTGTGCTTGTAGTAGCTGCATTTTGGTCAAATAACTTTCTATGTTTTTTTACTGATTTGCCTGCAAAGTTGTCGTATTGGATCAGGGTCCTGTGTGAATACAGTATGTTGTTTCAGAGTCATTATGTTGTAAATGCACTGATGTTAAAAAGAAAATGTACTTTTGAAAACTGAAGTATGTTTTAAAGCAAGTACCCCAGTGCTTGTAAAAAGAAAAATTGAACAACTTTCATTATATATGAGTAATAATTAACTACAAATATCTACACTTCGACTTAATGAGTTTTGTACTTTGTCCACCACTGACGCCGCATGTTGCCCTTTATAACTTTGATACATTTTGCATGAGAGCAGCTTCGGCTCACTGGATTTCTCTGTGTGCTTTAGTTATTTGAATCTCACAACATGACGCTCTGATTCCAGTAAGTCTACAACTCTTTATTGTGCTCCTCTTTTTACTTGTCCAACTTCTTACTTGTACAACTTGTCCACCCCATTCAAAGATGTTCTAAAGACTGCAAACTAATAGGTGGCCTCGTCCCATTCTCTTGGCAGCGACCCTGTATGTGAATATGCTGATTTAATATGGCCTGAACTCCCTGACAACAATGAGGGTTTGTATTCATTATGTTGGGGCCTAATCAGTTTTTTTCTCCAGTGACCTCAGATCTATGCGTGGCCCCATTACTGGCTGTAAGATGTGGGCAAGCTGATAAAAACCGGCACTCTGTGCTCCTTTTGTTTAGGCGCAGTATTGTGTCAGAGTAGAACGTGTGAGGGATCCACTCAGTGTCATTATCGCATTCAAATCCCGAGGCTTCGTGGAAGGATTATCTCCATCGCCCCTGTGCGACTGCATATATTAGCATGGCAATGTGGAAATCAAAGCTAAAGTGCTGCTTAATTGTTTTCTAGTGTATTATTTCATGCTACATCATGTGAGGAAGTGCTGATGAGGTGGGTGAGATGCTCAGCTAATCTCAGTGTAAGTAAAATATCCACAAACATACAGAAACATTATTTAGTCTGATTATTAATGTTTTTAAATACTGTTGCATGCAGTATTTGAACCTTGTGTTTATAATTTGTCTTCCTTTCAACTACTCCTGCATTAAGATCAAAACAGCTATTTAGTTCTGCTCATATTTCAGCTCATCAGTTTGTTTCCAGGTGACCGCCCTCCTTTCATTTCCAGGGAAATGTCTTGTGTGTGGTTGCTGCCAGCTCGCAGGTCTTAACTGTAATTAGGGCTTCATTTCTCTTTTCATCTGGACTGGCCGGACTGTATGATCGTTGCCAGGCACCTGCAGAGGTGAAAACCAATTACCGGTGGAGGCACGGTGTATCACACCAATATGCCCCTCTCTCTCTCGGTCTCTGTATGTGTGTGTGTTTGCCCTTCTCTCCTCACTTTGTCTCTGGATCCCCGCCAATTTAAATGTATTTATGCACTTTGTGTCATAGTCACAGAGACCAATATGAACCTCCCTGTCAGTCCTGTGCGAATACTTGGCTCATATCAGGGGTCACGTAGGTAAATTGATGTCATTACCACTTTCAAAGTGCTAATTGTATTAGCAGGGCTCAAATGGGGCTTAAAGGTCAGAGCGTTATTTAAAATGTTAAACCTTCTGATGAATGTGATGCATTGAGGTCATTCAGGGCCAGGGTGGCAGCAGAGAGGAGAAAAATGATGATGGAATATGGCACTGAATGTTGTTCTTTAGTAACAGTATTCCTTCATGCAGCTCCTTTATTTGTGTAGGTTTGAGAGGCATATCGAGGTTCAAGGTAGGATTTATTGCCATTCTCTCCATATGCAATATGCAGTATACAAGGGGAAGGAATTATGTTCCTCCAGGGCTTCAGTTTACACCAACAGATACAGCAAAAGACTGAATGTTGAAGTGTGCTTCGTTTCTAACACTGTAATGGATAAAAATGTGCATAGAAAGATAAGGGTGAAGGGAACCTATATCACCCTGGATAGGAGAGGTCTGGACAGGTTGCTTTTCCATCACAGTGCAGAAACAAATTGAATAAAAATGAAAAGATCAATGCCACTACTGCATCATCATCTCTATTCTGCTGCTTTCAATGTGCCATTACAATCCATTTTTAGCAGCCGCACCACATAAATGGATGTTTTCATATGAATTGGCCTTGTCCGCTCTCTCTGGAGCCATCGCCATGGTGAAGTGTGTTCACGGCCACCACTTCCCTTGGTTCACAGAAGACAGGAAGGAAAAGTAAAGGAAACAAAGGTCAGCACTGAAACCACACACAACATTAGATGGAGCCAGTGATTAACATGGTCCTGTAAGGAATGAAATGGCAGTGTGTGAGATTAGAGAGGATGTTAAGCTTTTTTTTCCTCTGGCTTTACTCTTAATCTTGCACCAGCAACTTTAGGATGACTCTGTTGACTCATCATCCAAGCAAATTTGTCGCCTTCTGCTTTTTACAGCTCTTGTCTTCCCTAAAGGAACATTGTTGTTGCAAAATAGGAGTAGTGTGTCTCTACACTTTGTAATCAGTCCTTTGAGACTATACAGTAGGTTTGCTGTGCTGCTGTTTGTCCTTGTGTGTGTGTGTGTGTGTGTGTGTGTGTGTGTGTGTGTGTGAGAGGGGTGGGGGGGTGGGTGGGGGGGTAGAGAATCGACCTCTCTCTTGTTTTAGCAACAGTAAATCAATAGTTTTCTCAGAGTAAAACCAAAGCACATTGCCCAGCCCCCTGCAGTTTGCTGTTAAGCATCTATTGGATTTTAGGACGGGACAATCACATGCCTACAGCTGGGTCACCACTGACCTTATGAAGTCCTGGCACAGAAATATGACTGATTTACACCTTTACGCATAGACTGCTGATACACTAAACAGCTCATTTTGTGCTGACGCTCTGTAGACACACACACATACACACACACACACACCGTCGCTACTTCAGGAGAGAGAGGGAGGGAGCTGCAACAGCTGAACTTGCAGCGGAGGCAGTGGAGAGGACGCATGTGGCAAGTCTCAGCTGGTTTGCTTTGGCTGAGAGCATGGTGCACGTAAACCCTGCTTCTCTCTCTTCCAGTGAATGCACAGACGATGAGAGGACGCTCGGCTAATTGATAGGAGAGGATACAGCTGCTGGCTCTCATCACAGTATAATTTCTGCTCGCGGTATGGACGGGCTGCAGGCGGAAAAGGCTGGAGTTGGCGGCACCGGGGAAAACGCAGAGGAGAGGTACCGCGCTCTCGCCTATGACACCGCGCTGAGCACTCTCGTGGCAGTGGCCGTGTACGTGGTGGTCAAAGTGAGCCTGGATGGCATCAGACAGTGGCGGGCCAGGATCTCGGTGCTCATCTTGGGTTCGGGACCCGTGGGGCTGACGGCCGCGCTGGTCGCTGTCCGCTCCGGTAAGGTGCTGAAACTGACCGTGCTGGATGAGAGGTACCGGACTGCCCTGCTGTGCCGGCCCCAGCAGATCGCACTGGATCCCCGCAGCGTGAAGTTTCTGCTGGGACTCGGGGTGGACTTTGATAACATGGAGGGCTGCTGGCACAACGAGCATTTCTTCACCAGGATAGGCGTGTTTCAGGAGTACATGCTGAGCATCCTGGAGCAGAAGAAACAGAAGGTGGACGTCAAGGTGCAGCTGGGGACCAAGGTATAGCCTCATCACTGATTTCAGTTAACCCTTATCCATTATCTGATAGTCTGTATGTTAGTGTCTCCTAAGTAATAGGCTTTTAAAAGTCTCTAATAACAGGTGCTTCAAAATAATCCCCATGTGCCACTCTCTCAACGAGGCTATAAATCCTATGTTATACAACTTCAATTTCCTCATGCAGTTTTATCAATAATACATCGAGCACTGATCTGGAAATAATTTGTGATGGCTCTGTAGAGAGATGAGATAAACTTCAAGTCTCACACTGCCTCATTTTGTAATGACTGTGCCTTCATAGTCTGTCAAAACCTGATCCTCCCTAAGTGGCAGCGGTCAAAGCAAAGAGGCTGGTGTGTGCCTGCACTTCAGCAGGGGTCTGATAGCTATCAGCTGTGATGGTGACAGAGATGTCTGTTCCCATGTCCAATCAGAAGCCACTGAACAAGGCTGCTGTCTCATACTGTAGCTCACTGATTCCTTTTCTGACATTTAAAGAGCCTTTTGGTGCCCTCAGCATGAGCTAGTTTTCCCTTTAAGCACAGCACAGAGAACACATTTTTCTTAGCAAGCATAATTTTATTCCTTTCTTATAATGCTCAGTTTCCTCATATACACCAAACATGCATATACTATTCTACAGTTCTCCCACAGCTACTCATAACATAACATTGTATAATGTCAGACTGCAAGCAGGCTCATCAGTTGAAATAACCTGTTATGTAAGCTGACCTCAAACCTACAGAGGATCCTCGCTACAGTTTTTAGGCCAGTGAAAAAGGAAAACACTCAATATAGTAAACAACTTACAACCCCAAACTATTATATCATCAAAATAACATGGATTTAATTACAGATTTCTACAACTGATTTTCTGAGGGTATCCCCAAACCATGTGCAAAGTCACTGAAATGTTACTGTGCACTCTGGCACCTGGCCACGAGGTGTGATCAAAGATGAAACCACAGATGTTATCCCTGTTTTATTAAAAAAAAAAGTTATGTTTATTTGTATAGTCCTTACTGTGAGTTTCATAACTCCCACACCAAGAGAACAAAAACATGAGAACAAAGCCTCCCTGCCAGACCTCAACTAAGGCCAAAGAAATACGCAACCTACAAACACAAAAACCTCAGAGGGGTTTCTCAGAGAGGCGCAGTGAGTGCTCGGAGTGGGCAAACAATTATGAAATGTTCAGTGAATATTTGTGTCATGGCTGGAAACCAGAGCGAGACTTTATTAGTGCTCTATTAAGGTTGGACCGGAGTGTCACTGCGGATGCTGTGACAGTAGAAAACATAGCTATCTGAGTGGCACACTTGTGTGTTGCTACTCTTCCCCGGCTCTTGCCAGCAGCTTCTTTCCTCCTCAGCTCCAATGTCATTCCTGTTAACTGCGGTGCCCCCCCCCCCCCCCCCCCCCCCCCCCCCCCCCCCCCCCCCCCCCCCACTATCAAGTGACTCACCAACCTTTGGAAGACGGAAGACAAGGTCAAGAGGGTCTTTGATCACAACAAACTTCAGTTTCGTTTAGAGCCACTGCCAAGTCTGCCATTTCCTCTTGATTAGACAGGACATTGTGTTTGATGAATGATTTTCTTTTCACTCTCCCAGCCTGTAAGTGGTTTCAAGGTCTGGGAATGCAAAAGGGGGTCTTTTAAATAACCTGTTCTCTGCAGTCGAAATGGATTTAACATAGATCTCTCGCATCAACTGTAAGGCCCTTTTATTCTCCCTTTCAGCCTGTCAGTCTCTCCCTGACTCGCTTTGTCCTGCTCTGTCTCCTCCTCTGCACAGGAGAGTACCTGGTGTTTTACTGAGGGGCAGCGATGCATACACAGGCATAATAATAAATCTCTCTGAGAGATGCGCTGTTGCCAAGACAAGCACAACCTCTGGAGCCCATTTTAATGGCTTGTAAATGTATAATAAAACCTCACCTGTTCCTTTGATTAATCGGCAGGTGAAGAAGGAGAAATCAAAACATTTTGTTATGTAAAGGTTATAATAGTGAAAACTGTAACTCATAGAAACTTTAGTGTAAATGTGAGAAGTATCAGCAATCAAAATTAGCCACAACAACAAACTGATACACTTCAAATATCTGCACAGGATGTATCTTACACTGAGAACGCTCCATCTAATGAAGCTCATATCCTCTCCTAACTGTGAGCTCTGCGTGTGTATTGGAATATTTCTGGAAAATGGTGTTTACAACCTTATCTGACCTGCCTTATATTGAAGTGCCATATTGTCCTCATCTGCCCCTATTGAATGATACGTCCTCTTTAGAGCTCTCATGTTACCAGAAGCTTGCACGTTTTGTTGGTCTCAAAGCAGCAAAAAAAATGTTAGCACTCCTCATCCTCTCTCTTGGAATCACTGGGGACAGATTATTGGATATAATATACATTTAGATGTCTGTAAGCAAGAATGCATAATTCTTTAATTTTTTATTAATCCTTTTACTGGCCATTTTTATTTTATTCAACCGTAACGGTACAAAATTGTAGAGAAAGAGCAATTACACTTAATGGATAGCGAAAAGGCAAGAAAGTGAGAAGGGAAAGAAACAGAAATTATTTAAGAGTCTCTGGATTATTTACATGATATAAATATTTCACTTTTAAGTATCATGGTTATCATCACTGCTGGTATACTGCGTCACCCCTGGTTTAAATATTGGTGCTGTAACCTGCAGAGCTGAAACAATCAATCAGTTAGTCAATTGACTAATTCGTTTAAGGACTGATTAATCCATGAGGTGGTTCCTTTCATCAAAAATGCCAAACATCACTTTACATCCAGCTTCTCACTTTTCAAGACTTGCTGCTTTTCTTGCTGCTGCATAAATAATAAAGTACTGTAAAACTTCAATTAAAAGCCTAGTCCCAGTTAAATGCTGAGTCCCTTTTACTACACATTTTGACAAACCTGTCTCAATAGGACGCCTGGTCTGGTTGCCAAGCATTTAATTTTTTTAATAGAAGCTTCTGAGTGTATAAAACCGGGTTGTTGGCTACCTTAAATGATGTGTCCATTCCTCGATTACCCTGTAAGTTCTTCATATTGCTTTAGTCCGTGAGGTCCCTCAGATCAAAAGGATCAAAAGAATCAAAAGGGTTTTTTGTTATAATTAATCCAAGTTGTGACTGAGTATTGTTTTAACAGTATAAAGTGGTGTCATGTCCATATGCCAGGTGCTGTAATCCTCAAGTGCTGTAACTGTCTCTCTCTGATGCACTGTCTGTCAAAGTTAGGTCACATGAATGATTCATAACTGATACATTATCTGAAGCCTATTTTTTATACAAGTAATATTCATACTAGTTTAAATAAACACTTTGACTGCATTTCCTGATCTTTGCTGAGCAACTGTTTTGTGTGAAAGGAGTTAAAGGCCTGTCCAAAATATAGGCCTGTTGATTTCAGTGATTTAAGCAAATAATAGCCCTGGCTATTAATTGAGGTTCAACATTGTGCTATGTTTCTCTTGCCTATCTCCATCAGTTATATCTTAGTGTTATGAAGGCTGCATGGTGAAGACAATTTTCACAGTGTTGACCTAACTAGGTAACTAATTGGCAGATGGATTAATAAAGAAAATAACCATTAGTTGCAGCCCTGGTAACCTGTAAAAAATCTTTAAATATTTCTTTTGGTTTCACTAACCTAAATATGTTAGTGTAAAAACACACATAATGCATGATAATTTATATTTTGTGTGAAGAAAAAAATGAATGCTTTGCAAGTAAACCCTCATTTTAAGAAATATTGCAAGGTTTACTTTGCAGAATTGTGGATTACTGTTTGTAAAGAAGCTCTCCAGTGGAAGTGACAGTAAAAGTCAACCTCAGACTCCTGTTTGGCATTTCACCTCATTATATTTGTGTTTTTTCAGCACTGTGTCTCTTGGATGCTGGCTGCGTACAGTCTGGCACTTGGTCTCTACTTTTTTTGAAAGCCTCGACCTCACCTGAGTGCTTTGAGCCTACACGTCCATAAGAGTCTCTGAAAACAAAACAAAAAAAACCCCAAAACAACAAACACACCACATACCTCTAGTGGGTCATAAGTGATGAGTGAGAATTTTTTTTAATCCTGCATAATAATCTACTACAGCCACAAGTGAAAAATATATTTAACTCCTCAGCTCCTCAGAACAGTAGATGTGCTGTTACTGCTCAAGTCTCTTAATAAAATAGAGTCAATGTGAAGCTCTGACAATGTGAATTCAGCTGTAAATGAAATTCTAATATTCATCAAACAAGCATGTAAGGACTTGGACCTTGCATGTTCTCCCTGTGTCAGCATGGGTTTTCTCAGGGTACTCAGGCTTCCTCCCACAGTCCAAAGACATGCAGGTTAATTGCTGACTCTAAACTATCCGTAGGTGTGAATGTGAGCGTGAATGGTTGTCTGTCTCTATGTGTCAGCCCTGTGATAGTCTGGTGACCTGTCCAGGATGCACTCCTTCCCTCACCCAGTGTCAGCTGGGATAGGCTCCAGCCTCCTTGCGACCCCTAACAGGATAAGTGGTTATGGAAAATGAATAAATCAAACAAGCAATTTTTTCCCTTGTATTTAGTTTAACTCTTGTTTCAGTTTACAGAGGAATACCTTCGGCGGATCCCACGGAATGAGTGGCCACGTGTGATTGTAGTGGCTGATGGGTCGTGTGGCGACTCCTGCTCGGTGCTGGGCATCAGCTCTGACTACACTGTGGAGTCCTGCCATGCCTATGGAGCTAACGCAACTATAGAGAGACTAGACCAGAGACAGGTCAGGACACACATACACATACACGCACACACACTCTATACGCATACAAGCACTTACACAAACACTAATGGATGCATTCACTCCTGTGCACACACTGAGGCAGTAACCAACAGGTTGCTGTTTGAGTAAAGAATGAAGGCAGCAGAAACAGGATATTGCAGGATATTACAGTGAAGGCGACTTTATTGTCCTCATAAGGCTGACTTGTGCAAACAGTGATGTGGACCTGCCAATAGCAGCTGAGCACAATATCTGACTCTCATATAAACAGCCCGATTATGGCAGAATGTTGGATCTCGTCAGCATAAACACTGGCCCTATTTTTTGATTTACTCATTGAATTTGATAAGAGCAGCTGTTGGAGGCAGGTGACGGCGATGATAAAGCCTGCTATTCAGTGCGCCCCCCTGGCTAGGCTCATAATCTGTTCCCTGCCAGGTGAATATGAATCAAGATATCAAAACATCAGCTGCAATGTTTTTCACGTAGTGTGCCAAAGGTCGCTTGACATTATATAAGCAGATGGTTCTGTGAGTGATGACTCAGTGATGTTATCAAAAGGCCCAGAAAGGACTGAATAGATAAATGTGCAACACTCCCTTCCACACAGCAAAATTAATTCACTTCATTTGTTCTTTGGCTGCAGCTGCAGATTAAGAAATGAAGACAGAAAATATGAAAGGTGTAATATTTGGAATATGATGCAGCACAGGCAGCAGATCAGCCTTTGGGGCTTTATTCAGGCAGAAGCATTGTTCAGAGAGACTGACAAACAAATGTCACATCCCTGTTGGTCCACTGAGTTTGGGAAACTGAAGATGCAGACAGATGATATTTGCAGCAGTAGTCTGCTCCTCATCTTATGTCATTGTTGATACTGTTCATAGAGACTGACTTGTGAAAGGTTGCTCTTATGATTATAAAGAGTGACGATCTGTACAAAAGAGAGGATTAGTTTGGAGGAACAAATAAACAGGTCAAAAGCTTTCAGGCTAATATCGTCTAATATCTGAAACACAATCATTGTCTCCTTTGCCGTATTATGCCACTATAACCATTCATATCACGTTCTCTTTAGTGGCTGTGTGGCTGCCTTTTATTGGCCCCGTTTCTCGCTGGCTGTTTCCTGTAGTGATTGAATTTACCTCCCAGGATATGACCTGGTCGTCCCCACCATCCCTTCCATCTCCTCTCAGTCGCTGCTCTGTTTGCTAGCTAACTCCCTTGGTTGCACTAAATGCTATTTGATCCCACTTGGCTGGTTTATGTTATTGAAAAGAGAATTCATCACTTGTGGCTTGAGGGAAAATGAGGAGTCACTGCCAGATTGAACCACTGAATAAAAATCAAGATAGTCTTAATCTCCACTCAAGTGACAACAGCCCCACAGGCAGACATGGTATACATGGTATATGTCCTCTCACCACGTACACATCATCAGGTGCATGTGGAATTAGATTAACTCAGCAGATATATTGGTAATGTCCACATAATGATATAATCTATGACACTAATCTCACTTCCTTTTTTTCCCTCCGTGTCTTTTAACTTCAGGTACCCACTCCTGAGATCCGAGCCCACAGCCTTTACTTCGACCTGTCCGCTTACGGAGTAGAGGCCCTCCGAGAGCACCGAAATCCCACAGCCAAACCTGGCTTCCACCTGAAGATTTATGGCACCTTCAGAAACCGCTACATGGCCCTTGTCTGCCCCGCCTCTGACACCAAGATGGTTCGCTTCCTCAGGCACACGGCCAACTCCTCTGTGAGACTCTGAGCTTATTTACTACTTGTTGTCGTTGATAAAGACTCTAGGTATGAAGAATATGCAGCTGTTTATCCATGTCAATGCAAGGGAAAGACAGATAATAATAATGCTGGCACAGTGCTGTGCTGCCTTGTCTTGCTACTTATTCCTCACCTTTCATTCAGCAAATGGCCTTTGACTGCACTATTGTGGGAGTCCATTAGTGTCTGTACGTGGGTGTATGTTTGCGTCAGTGAGTGTTTGAGTCTGTGGATGTATTTGAGTCTGAGTGTGTCTGAGCCAAAGGGAGCATCAGATGAAGAAATGGGGGAAAGAGGGGGAGGAGAAAATAGACCTCACTAGTGTGTGTGCATGCATGTATGTGTGAGAGAGTGAAGAGGCCATCTGTACCCTGCTGTTACACATCAGTGAATAAATGGAGGGCATGATATTTTCTTCCTGTGCTCACCAGCAGGCTGTAGGTGCTTTTACAACCACTGGGCAGTCTGTGTTTTATCTGAGCATCTCTAGGTTTTCATGTCAACTACTGCTCTGGTCATGCGTAGCCTGTAGCCACAGCGTGCGGTGTAGTACACACAGGTACATAGCAAGACCAGCCTTTGAGCACTTGTTGCTATGTGGGTGGCCATTCATATGCACTGTTACTTGGTAACAGATGACTGTGCAAGTATGGGTCGAAGAAGAGCAGAGTTTAGCAGAGAAAGAGACCAAGAGAGGCGGAGAGAGCGAGAGAGGCTTGTCACTCAATACCCACAATTACTGTAGAATTGATGAGAGGGCACACTGCAGCTTTTCTTCTTCAGTGTTCCTACATCAAAATGAAATGACAAAGTGCTTTTATGAGTCAGAGTTGCTTTGTTACAGATAGATGAAAGCATGTCACAGAACCTGTAAGGGCTACAACTAATGATTTTTTTCATTTTCTATTCATCTTTGAATCATTTTCTTGATTATTTGAGTAATTGCTTATGAAATGCCAAAAAACAGTGCAGAGTAAATGTATCAGGAAATACAGGCAACAACAAAGGAGTGACTCAGCAGCACAACTCAAAAACACAATGAAAAGTCTTTTCTTGGAGAAATCAGAGATTGATACACAAGAGTCGGTCCAAAAATACCAGGCAAAATACAAAGGATAACACTAGAAATGCACAAAGAAAATTACTGGAACGCTTACTAGAAAACAGTGAAGACAAACTGGCACAAGGGTCAGGTGGAACTGATCATGATGGGGAAGGTAACCACACAGGCGGGAAACACGCAAAGGCAGGAAGTGAGGTATCTGAGACAAGAGACACAGGTGAGTAATACAATAAGACAGAAAATAATAACAGGAAAAACTAAAAACAAGAACACATAACCTTGACAACTGGACCAGGATGTAACAAATGCCTATCACAATTTATCGGAGCCCAAAATGACATCTTCACTGTTTTTTCTGACCAACAAAGACAATCTCTAAGAAAAGCTAATTTTGCTTGAAATGATTGACTGAAATGATTAATTGGATTAGCATAATAGTTGCAGATTAATTTTCTGTCAATCAACACTTCCTTTAATGAACTAGTTGTTTCTAGCCTGGGAACCAAACAAATCTGTGAGCTCACGTGTTATTTGCTCAGGCAGATGGTCAATAGATCGCAGATACAAGCGGCCGAAATTATTTTCCTCAGAAGGGTGTCTGGGCTCAGCCTTAGAGATAGGGCGAGGAGTTCAGACATCCGGAGGGAGCTTGGAGTAGAGCCGCTGCTCCGGGCACGTCCCACTGGTAGGAGGCCCCGGGGCAGACCCAGAACACACTGGAGGGATTACATATCTCATCTGGCCTGGGAACACCTTGGGTCCTCCAGGAGGAGCTGGAAAGCATTGCTGTGGAGAGGGACGTCTGGGGTGCTTTGCTTGGCCTGCTGCCCCCGCAACCCAGCCCTGGATAAGCAGATGAAAATTGATGGATGGAGATGGGCAATAATTCACATTCGTGATTTGGTCTGGCAATGTCAGGCTAAGTTTATTGTTTCAGCTGCAGTTTGTGTCAGTTGAGATGCATCTTTCCATATCTCTTGTCTCAATAGGTAACCTCCAGTGACTTGTAAAAGAATTTTTGATTAATTTTGCAGATTTTTGTTGTAATCGCATACATTTTTATACACAATTAGATTATTGCAGTTACAATTTCTCTCTGAATTCCATGGGAAGGCTTTAATCACCACCCCAAATCCTCTGCAGTCATGGTTCAAGGAATTTGCAGTAAAAACTCATCTCAGCTAATCTTTTTTTTTTCTTCTTTCACACTAAGAAAACTTAAGACACACTGAAGTCAGGAAAAATGTGGGGCTTCTTGTTGTAGTACCACTGTGGCGGCATGATGACGAGTGGGATATATTGTATCATGTGTAAATGTAATGTTCATAAGCAAGGCCATGTACAAGAAGATGAGGTTAAAAGTTGGTGAAGTGGGCCTTTAATGATGCTACAGATGATCTGTCTCTGTTTTGCTGCCCAGATCATGAAGAACATTTTCCACCAGTCCTTCAATGTCTACAAGACGGACATAGAGCCTCGTCTCAACGACATGACGCTCCATCACATGCAGTGCAGCCGCCGTCTTTTTGAGATTCAGTTGTCACACAGACGCATCAGCGCTGCCTACATAGAGGGGGACAATGTGGCGGTCACTGTGGAGGGGGAGGCGGCGCGTGTCCTCAACTTTGACACAGGTATGCACGTCTGTAAAATACCAGTTATTACCAGTTAATACCAGCACTGCCCTTTGAATAAATGAGACAGAGTGAGAAAGAACGAGATGGAAATAAAAAGAGATGCAAGGAGAGGATAAATTATTTTTTATGTGTGCAGCCTGTGTGTGAGTCATTACTGCACTCAATGGCCTTTCAGCTGACGCTTATCTGCTTTTGTCTCCATGCTGCTTTTTTGTGCTGCTGTTTTCAGCCACAACTGTGACGTCAAGGCCACATATTAATGTGTGGTCTTCAAAATGAGAAGCTGTATACTTCTTATCATGAATATGTGTTGTGCATTACTGAGATAGATTTTATTTGATGCATGTGTGTCTGTGATTTATGTTTCCTCTGTCTTCTCCTCTCCTCTTCGACCTCCTTTACATCCTCCAGGTTGTGGGGTGAATCTAGGCATGCGAGGTCTGGAGTCAATGGGGACGTTCATTTACCGGACAGCCACAGCTGTGGACCAGAATGATATTCTAGAGGCACTGTCAGCTAAAATGCAGCACTCCAGACAGGTGGCTGAGACCTTCAAGCAGACAGGCCTGGCTCAATCAATGTATGAATGAAACACGAGGACGATCTGGTGAATGCATAATGCCACCTAGAGGAAAGTGGTGGATTATTTGTGTTTACAGTGAATGTTTACAATGAATCGTGAGTCTAATGCTGAAGTGGACCACTAGTGGTTACACAAAGAGCTGAACAAGCCTGAGCTGTGAACAGATGGATAATGGATGTAAACATGTGACCATAAATCTTCTATGCGTAATGGATGGAGCGAGAGTAACCAAGACCACATTTGGTACAATGCATTTGAAGCTGTTCTGGTTTTTCAGGTTGTTAATACTGTGGCAGGAAGAGATATTTAATCTGTCACTGTTGCAGTGGAACAATATACGTTGAACACACTGCACTCTGGGTTTCTGAGTGAAGTGTTAGAATGCAGGGAAAATAAAAAACATAGCCCTAAGAGATTAGGAGTAGTTGGAATAGATGAAAACTCTGTGATGCTTGTCATTTTCATCACTGTTGTCTTCTCTTTTTAATAGAGATGAATTGACTTGATTTCCAAAATCTAGTTGGTTGAGCTCTCCAGGCATCACGTCAATGGTGCTAGAGGAAATTAGATGGTGCCGTAGCATCATCAGCTACTGAATCATGTATAAAACTGTTATTGTCCATGATCTGACAGAGAAACACACATGTCTTAAGTGTTGTAATCAAGCCTTTTGTCTTTGTGTTTGACAGCGTGGTGATTGTTGTGCTGATGATGTTCTAAAGTATTTGCTAGAGTGGCCGCTGTTTGTGTGCTGCTTTGTAAAGTAAGATTTGTATATGGCATATTTCAAAAAGGACAGGGGCCAACTGTATTATCACAAATTATTTTTGCCGGTGTCACATTTTGACTTGCCTTTTTATATTTTGCTCCAGGTGATCTAAAATGAAAGTATATCATTATTTCAGATTAAGGAGAGTAGCCTATGCTGATTAATGTCCTGCTCCTTTTGAAGTGCCAATAAAGATGGTGATTTGGCAAGAGTGACATGGGTGGTCTTTACCCTTACATTTATTTGATTCGAGTTCAAATGCAATTTAATAAAGAGTAAGAGCAACCTTAATTCAGCTGTTAGTTGGGGCTCTAACAAACTGCTTATGTAAATTGAGGTAGATTATTACAGCCTCAACAACAGACTTATCTGTTCTGCACTGTCAGTCTCTCATGACTGCGGAAGTATCGAGATTTTTATTACAGTTTTAAAGCTGCTGTGTGAAAAACCTGATCAATATTTGTGAACTACAACCCATGCAGACAGTACAGTATCAGCACATTGTTTCCATTATGGTTGATATGAGGCAGTACTGCCCTCTAGTGGTGTATCCTGTCTGTTGCATCTGCCTCAGCTTCAACACTTGTATCTCCATTTAGGATACAAGTAAGCCTATTTTGGGGCTTTATTTATACAAATATTGGGAAAGGTGTTGGTTAAATCCCCATTCCTTTTGATTTTCTTTCAAGCACAACACTTCTACTAATCACTGCTGTTAGACTAATGTGCCCCCTGTTACTTCTCCATTGCAACTGCATGAAAAAAATACTTCAAGAGTTTAAGTTCAGGTGTGTCAGATTTAGGAAATGGTAAATCATGTTCTTAACTGTGTTTTCCTTAGTGTAATCACCTGATAATAAGAATTGTGTTTCCATAACCTTAGAATGAGCCATTTCAAAAAGCGGGCCCTCTTTCATGGAGTCCACCATGTTCTTTCTACAGTGGCCCAGAATGGACAAATCAAACACTGTCTCTAGATAGGACCATTCTCAGTTTAACATTCTCCTAGTTCTCTTAGTCCTATAGTTCTCTCAAGGCCCTGACAGACCAAACAGACGGTCAGCCTTCAGTGCTTTGGGCCGTCAGTGAGCACCTGTGGCCCTCATCACTGCGATGTGTCCCGTATCTTTGGCCCCTTGTCGGCCTCTGTCAATTGGCTTTGTTTTGTTGCTGATTCAGCATGTTGAATTGGCGTCGACAACTGCAGAGCCTGTCTGTGAATGAAATCACTCTGATTGTCAGCATTAGTGCAGAACGTACATGGTGGTTGGCTTTTGGTTGAAGTCTTTGCAGTGTGCTCATGTGCAGACTTTTAGTTGAGACACAATGGATGTGAGGCGACTCAGCAGGGGCTTTCGCTAGTCTGAGGTCTTTACACACTTGGCGCATGGAAGAAGTTTCAGTTCTGTGTCCTCACAACTAGATGCTACACACTGGTCTTTTAAGGGGTTGAATCTGGTGTCCTGTCCTGTCCTGTCCTGTCCTCTCCTCTCGTGTCCTCTCCTCTCCTCTCCTGCTGTTCATGGGAAAATACTCAAACTGTTATTCCCAGCCTGCCCCACATCTTTGAAATTATAATATGCTTCATAAAGTTAAATTATAAAATGAAACATATTTACAGTAACTGATATAAGGCTGGCATTAAGAGTGACATACTACACTGAAATACTGTAACTAGCTAAAAATGTACCCCTGAACTCACACAGTAATGCCAAATGTTTACAGTGATGTCTCAATCAAATTTAGTTTGCCCAGAACTTTTTCAGTGGATGATTTTTTTTCACTTTGTAAAAATGATAACTAATAAAATAAATAATATAAAAATGAAACTATAAATTACCAGTTACCTTTTGGAATAAATACTGTGATTATTCATTTGGCATTTAAGCTCGGCCTAAATGTCTGTTTTAAATGTTATTTTGTACCTTTATGCTATCCTTTACATATGGTTTGTTTCCTATGAGGAAAAACACATATACATATAAAGGTGTTATGGAGTAGCTTGCTGACAAATAGCATCTTATGACAGATCAAACAGAGATAGGCACTGTGAGGGACAGGTAAAAAGCCTTATCAGCTTTTCTTGCCTCAGTGAAACAACCATTCACTGTCAGGAATCTGGGATTTTTCTTTAAATTATAAATATCTTGTGCTGTGATGTGTGCGGTGAAAACATTTGTAATGCATCCAATAAATAAAACACTTGTCATTATTGTTTTCATTATCCTCAGACAAAAGCAGATAATAGGTGTCCAGTAAACAATGTATTTGCATAGTTTAGTTTCTGTTACTGTTAATAATTCAACAAAGGAAATGATAGCCTACTTGTAATTTTTTTTTTGAGTATTTAAAAAAGAAATCAGTAATTTCATTAGGCTACTTAAGGATTTTTATATCTCTAATATTGTACTTCGCTACATTTCCTAGTAAAATCAAAAGTCACATGAAGAAGTCCTGCTTATCTGGGTGAGAAACAAACAAAATAGGCAGAGAAGAAGAAGTTGTGACTGCGGCCGCAGGGAGGCAGAGCCCCACAGAGCTGCATGTTCAGTGCCAGTTAGACAGTTTTTTATCCACTTTTAGTTTGTAAGAAATAGCTAAAACAATGCAATATGCGAAATCACGTCATCATGCTCACTGTAAGCATTATTGCACATGGGCACGGGCTAACAAAAAAAGAGTTGCATTTACCTTAATTGATCGCTGTTTTTTAATGAACCGCCCAGCGAGCGCGCTTAGTGACTCAAATCAAACACACCCATCCAGCTGCCCAACAGGTGCATGCGGAACTTGGCTAACATGCTAAATACTGACATGCTCATGGTGATGACTTCTGCCTCAGTGTATGAGGCCTTTGTGCTGTCTGTAACACCCCGTGACGTGACTGTAGAGCCTCATTTAGCTCCAAATGTTTGGGAACTCCGAGGAGCGCAATGGGACACAGGCTGAGAGGACAGTTAAAGTGTAACAGAGAGACTGAGGAGTGGACTGGTTGTATTATGCTCTGAGACTGACAGTGGAGCAGACTGTGGAGGACTTCCTCACACAAAGCCATTCAGACAGGTGAGTGCAACAACACACTCATGATGGATATAACTCGCGAGGAGGAGACAGTCCACGGCGCATTGTGTGTAGGCCTAAACTACATTTGAGCAAAAACTGCAGTTCTTTTGTAGCTGCATGTGTGTTTGTGGCTGCAGCTCTGAGTTTTCTGCTCTCTGAGTTTACATTGATATACATCTCTTGTTTGTCTTGGTGATTGGTGTTTAATTCTGCTGTTAATTCTTCAAGAAATGGCAGATTACTAAATTGTAGTTTAATAATGCTTTGCACCTCTGTGGTGTTCATTTCTATTTTTATTTATTGTCATTCATCTTTGCTTAGGTGTGTCTGGCTGTGTAATGGGTGGGCTCATCAGTTGTATGCACAGTGCTTTATGTTGAAAAGGAAAAAGGTATAGACATCTGCTGACATGTTAAAGCACTTTATTTTGTAGCCTAAATGTGTTTCAAATGTGTGTCATGGCACACTTATCACAACATAAATGTTTGTTTTTATTTACTACTTTTAATTAACAATTAACATTACTCATGGAATATTTGTTAACAAAATGATTCAAGAATTCATTTTAAACTTTTAAAACCACATCAAAACACCAGTAACACCTCCATTTAAATGCTAAATAATGTAAGATAGTGTGATGTGTCACGCACTTCTAATTCCCTCATGCGAACAGTGACAAATGAAAATTAAATTAAATTACATTTTTAAGGTAGTGTATGCTTCTTTATTAGGAAATGGGTGTGCACAACATACTGATACAGTCAATTAAAAATTCATTCATAACTTTTTGTACAGGCCCAGTTGAATATTGCAATAATAATGTGTGGTTATCACAGAATCTCACAGCACTCCATTTGAGAACCACTGGCCTAAAACATCATCATGCACATCTTTCTTTGCCCTCCCTCCACTCACCTGTCTCTTTTAAAAATGTAACGCCTAGTGTTTACTTTATTGACCTACATTTTACTTTTATCTTAGTATATTTTGTGGTAATTTTACTTTTACTTAAAAATTACTTCAGTAAAATTTGTTTAAAGAAACAGTAGTTGTATTTGAGTAGACTATTTTAGTACTCTTTATCCCTGCAGATACCCACGCACACTGCATACTGCTGACATCTGGAGGTCAAGTGCCTTGCTAAATGGTTCATTGAAGGTGTCGTCTCAACCAGCTTAAGTTTACAAATGTGGCTCCAATTTTGTAAGTTCAGAACTAGCTCAGGCAGACAATCTCTAAATGAAAGGCTTATTTAACAACATATTTAAGCCCCGTTTCCACCAAACGCTTTCGGTATTGTACCTTTGGAACCAAAAGTAACCCTTCAGACATGGTACCTAGAACACATTTCCACTGCAAACAGTACTTTAGTCTCCAATTCAGTTTTCTGGGAGTAAAAATGATTTTATCCTAATGGAATTAAATAATAAAACTTGTCTGTATCTCAGTTTTATTTGCCACAGAAAACAGATCACTGCACGAAAGGGCGTAGGTTTCATGTCAGCATTTGGGGGGACACGTGAATTGGGGGGTTTTGATCATCAAACACTTAATTTCCTGCATAATGAGGAGTTTTTATGCACCAATTTGTGCATTTTCTGCACTAGTTTATGGTGAGATTGTCTTTAATTTTGTGTTTTAAATATTGACGGGGGGGGGGTGTCCCCTGTTTTCATAGACCTATGGCTTCATGAGTGTCAAGATCTGAAAGGACTGAATGCTATATCAATATTTTTGAAGACAGATATTTTTAGCAGTGTGCTCAACAGTGATGAGTCTTGAGCTATAGGTGCGAGACAGTGACCTGCTGAGATCTATTAAACTGCTCCGTGCCAACCCGTCCCACCCTCTAGCCTAACAGACAACCTCCCAAAGCTGTTTGCTCTGTCTAATTAAAAACATTCATCCGCTAGCTGTGCCCTCCAAGGTCAATAGTCTGGACCTCTGGACTGGCCCCTGCTGTAGCACAAGGCCTTTCATTAGATTAAACACAATAATGAGAAAATCTTTTATCTTTGCATATAATTAAAGCGGGGATGAAGGACAACTTAATCAATGATGTGGAATGACAAGTTCGTAAATGAATTAGACCTGCCAATGGGGGCTAGGCTGCGATCAATGACAAATGTTAAGCAGAGAGTGGATGGGTTTTAGTTACAGCAACGGGCATCTATGAGTCCAAGCAAGAATATTTGCTGCTGCGGGTATAGACTGAGATTTAGCTAGATCACCCTCTGTGTTTGTGTGGCATTAAATGGGGAAAACAGTTTTCACAGAATCTGTAAAATCCTCCTTTTCATTATGAATCAAAAAGACACTTGTAAAGAAAATTTGCATGTACACTAGTGATCATGAGATTCATTTACACCTTTCTTTGGTGACTTAAACTGTGTCAAGTTGCATCACATTACTTTAGCCAGCATGATTGTTTCATTTTAATAGCATAATTTTGCCATACGAGGGCAGTGTTGTCCTTTGAAACAGCCTCCAGGCTCTCTCTAAGTTTAGCAGGCTGCAGAGCCAAAATGCAAAACTGGATGAGGAAATGGATTGTAGATGGGATAGATGGAGACTGCACGGCTGCTGTGTGCTGTTAAACATGCACATAAACTAATTAATTCTGATAAAAGCAAATATATTACAGTATTCTGGAGTGGGATAATCTGTCACACTGAATGCAACTAGTCTAATGCAAAAAACTAATTTACTCTCTGACCCTGGCTCATCAAATTTTCAGATATCAGCTGAGCAATTATAGTTTTGTGTGTAAAAATAGAAATTGTCATAGTCTAAAGTTTCTTTCCATGCCGTCGGAGAAGCTTGTGACAGACACCAAAAAAAAAAAAAGAAAGAAAGAAGTGGTTTTCACGGTTCTCTGCCGGCTGTGTGAGTTTGTGTTTGAGGAGATGGGAAAGGATGTGAGCACGAGCGTGTATTGACAAGCCTTCAGTTGCTGTCTGACACACAGACAGGAAGTCACTGTCACATGACTGAGATATCGGCACCTTGTCCGATTGCACAGAGGGCCTCTTATGTATGCTGCCAGCACAAATACAGGCCAAGTCATTCATATACACATACACACAAAGAGAGAAAGAAGGAGTGAGAGGATGAGGATAAAGCAAGAATAAAAGGGAAGACTTTTTAGGGCATGTTAGTTATCCGGGGAAATTATTTGTCTAATGTCTTATTGGTGAATCTTGAATTGTTCTTTTTTAGTACACATGAAACAGCGAGGTGAATCCTGCAGCTGGATTTCTACCTGACTTGGGCGTCTGTCGAACAATTATCAGTTCTCCTATCTGTTCGGCTCCTATCTGTCCCATCACACTCACGCCCAATTTCCCTAAACTGTCACAGCTAATAATTGGGCCTCTCTGTCAGGAAGGAAATCAGGCCCGCTGTTCTAACTAAAACACACATCCCTCACCCCTCCCTTCATCCTTCCTTCTCCCCCTTTTCCCCTCTCCTCTTCCCATCTCCATCACCCTGTTCCCCTAATACAGTGGAAATCAGCTCTCCAGATAGAACACAGCCACCTCCTCCTCCATCTCCTCTTCTTCCTCCCCTGAGTCGGTGTGTGTGTGTGTTTGTGTGAGTGTGTGTGTTCGGGAGGGTGCACGCTGTGTGACAGTGGTAGCCTCAGGGCCAGGTTGCTGTTGACAGGGACGAGGGTCTCTGATTTGAGGAGAGCAGTCACACCAGCGACTGCAGCTGCCTCCCCGAGTGACACCTCCCTGTTAGTGGGGGAGATGTGGACACGTGTGCCAGTGTGTGTGTGCGTGTGTGTTGGCAGTGTTGATGGCGGGGTTGATGGACTGACTGGCTGCCTACAGTGCTCAGGACAAACAGGGAAACTTTCCCTGATGAGCTGACAGGCCCTCATGTTGAACACCTAACTGGGCTCCGGTTGGTGCTCGGACAAAGTGCAGAAGAGGTGACGACAAGGAAGAAAAAAAAATGATAACACAAGCCAGGCAGGTCAGGAGAATACAAAGAGGTGGAGAGAGGAAACTAAACAGCATCTAGTCCTAATGGGTCACGCTTATGTGCAGCACGCATACATGTCTGTGCGGCTTTGTGTGTCTGTGTGTGCCTCCAGAGTCCAGGCTGTGTAGATCACCATT